AGCGAGAGGGCTGGCAGTTCAAAACACAAAGGAGACTCGAAAGGAAGAAATGAGGTAAACAAAAGATGTGAGAAGAAAAAAAGGGACGTCGAGTGCTATCGTTGTCAAGAGAAGGGGCATTACGCACGTGATTGCCCGACGCGAAAACAAGGAAAAACTGCCAGGGACGAAAGTGAGACGCGAGGAAGCGTGTTTATCGTTGAAAGTTCGGGAAGTGTAAACAACAGTTCAAGAAACAGTCGGTTTGGTAAAATGCCTGAGAATGTCAAAAATCAATGGCTACAACTGGATAAGAAAGATATCTGGTATGTCGACAGTGGTGCTTCACGGCACATCACGTTTCGACGTGAATGGTTTACCGAGTTCCGTCCGCTCAGAGGCACAACGGTATCGGTCGGAGACGACGGCGTGTGCGAAGTGTCAGGCGAAGGAACTGTAATTATCGATAAGCTCGTCAACGGCGTGTGGCGCGAGGCGCGCATAGAAAATGTGCTCTATGTACCGAAAGTGCGCAACAACTTGTTTTCCGTCGGTGTATGTACTTCGAGAGGCTTCGAAGTGAGTTTTGCTAGTGAATATGTAGTGTTGACAGACAATAACAAAATCGTGGCGACTGGAGTCAAGCAGTCGAACGAAATCTTCCGAATGTTTTTCCGCGTGAAAAATGCACGAAGTGCAGGCGAAGTCAACGTGACCACGACGAATTTAAAGCTCTGGCACGAACGTTTAGGACATTTGAACAAACGTGCAATATGTGATCTGGTGAACAAACAGCTCATAAAAGGGGTGAGTGTTACCAACGAAAAAGATTTCTTTTGTGATGCTTGTCAGTTTGGAAAGGCACACAGATTACCGTTCAAGGCAGCTGAAAAAGAAGGGTGCACAAAGCCGGGTGAATTTATACACAGTGACGTATGTGGGCCAATGTCCGAGACCTCTCCGGGAGGTGCGCGATATTTTGTGACTTTCATCGATGATGCTTCCGGGTTCCGATACGTATATTTCTTGAAACACAAATCGGATGTATTCGAACGGTTGAAAGAATTCGACAGGTTGATCGCGAACAAATTCGGGAGATCAATGAAAAGATTGCGTACCGATAACGGCCGGGAGTACGTTAATGAGAAGATTAAGCAGTACTTATCGTCGCGCGGTATACAATTCGAGCCATGTGCACCGTACACGCCAGAACAGAACGGCAAGTCTGAGCGAGACAACCGAACAATTGTTGAGTGTGCGCGTACTATGCTGAAAGCGAAGAATTTACCGACGTTGCTGTGGGCGGAAGCGGTAAATACGGCCGTCTATATCCAAAACAGAGTGTTGTCGTCGGAAAGAAGAAGGACAAAGACGCCGTACGAAATCTGGACTGGAGAAAAACCGGATCTAAGTCATGTGAGAGTGTTCGGATCGGAAGCTTTTGTGTATGTACCTAAACAATTCACGAAGAAATTCGACGCGAGGTCGAAGAAGGTGATGTTCGTAGGGTACGAAGGAAATTCATCCAACTACAGGTTGTACAACCCGGAGACCAGGACGGTGACTGTCTCAAGAAATGTGGTGTTCAACGAGAAACGAAACAAAAGTGAATCTTCGACGGTCAATAGCGAAAACGAAGACTTGATGTTTTCGACAGGCGACTCCATTCAATACGACGAAGAACAAGGACAGGAAAAGGAGCAGTCGAATCCTGAAGTCGTTTTTGAAGAACCCGAAAGAGAGGACAGCGTTGAGCCACAGCGAATGTCTGACGAACCTCGCCGACTGCGCAATCGTGGGTCATTAAGACGACCAGAGCGATACGACCAGGAGTACGAGATTAACTTAGCTCAGTACGATTCTCCTGCGAGTTACGAAGAAGCAATCAGCGGAGAAGACTCTTCAAGATGGATTGAGGCGATCCATGAGGAGCTCAAAGCTCATGAGAAGAATCACACGTGGACCGTCGTTCCGAGGGAAGCTGATAAGAAAACTATAGACTCAAAGTGGGTCTTTAAGAAGCTCAGGGACACGACTGGACAAGTATATCGATATAAAGCTCGATTATGTGCAAGAGGCTTTCTACAACGTCAGGGTATCGACTACAACGAGACATTCTCACCGGTAGTGAGATACGACTCACTACGACTGCTGTTAGCACTCGTCGCACAAGAAGATCTTGAACTCGGACAGTTTGACGTAAAAACGGCGTTTCTGTATGGTAGTCTCGACGAGGAGATACTCATGGAGATTCCAAAGGGGTTCAATGGAAAGTGTGTGAACAACAACACGAATGTAGTGTGTAGTCTAAACAAATCGTTGTATGGCTTAAAGCAAGCACCTCGGTGCTGGAACAAGAAGTTCAGTAGTTTCTTAAAACGTTTCGAGTTTACGGAAACCAATGCGGATAAATGTATTTATACTGGCTGCTACGAAAATGAAATTGTGTATTTCGCGCTGTTTGTAGATGACGGGCTCATCGCGTGCAAGTCCAAAGAAGTTGTTAAACAGATAACGGCATTATTGAGTAATGAGTTCGAAATCACGAAAAGCGATGCAAGTTGTTTTATAGGTCTACAAATAAGTCGCGATCGGGCGCGAAAATCACTGTTTATTCATCAGAGCGCCTACGTAAAACAAATAATCGACAAGTTCGGCATGAACAAAGCGAAGGCTGTGAGTATTCCTTCGGATCCTCACACAAACTTGAGTCCGGTAGAAGCAAGCGAAAATGTGACTAATGTGCCTTATCGGGAGGCTGTAGGATCACTCATGTTTCTAGTCATTGTGTCACGGCCGGATATCGCATTCGCGGTAAATAACGCGAGTAAATTCCTAAATAATCATGATCTAAATCACTGGCTCGCTGTAAAAAGGATTTTCGCCTATCTAATTCAAACGGTAGATTTAGGAATTGAATATCGAAGCGGCGGAAGCGAATACGACTTAGTTGGGTTCTCCGATGCGGATTACGCTGGAGATTTGGAAACAAGAAGGTCAACGACCGGTTATATATTCAATTTTGCGAATGGACCGGTCACGTGGTCGTCACGTCGACAAAAGATGGTAACGTTAAGTACCACGGAGTCTGAGTATATCGCCGCATCATCCGCTGCAAAAGAAGCCAAGTGGCTCCGAGGTCTGTTAGATGATATTGGACATCGCTGTAGTAGTGCCACATTGTTGTGTGTTGATAACCAGAGCTCTATAAAGCTAGCGAAAAACCCAGAGTTTCATCAGAGGACAAAACACATCGACATCCGATATCATCATATCCGAGAGATGATTGAAAAAGGCGAAATTCGAGTCGAATATATCGCGTCTGAAATACAAAAGGCGGATATATTAACGAAAGCTCTGCCGAAAGAGAGATTTAGACGTCTGCGAGATAGTATGGGGATGCGTGTGAATGTAAACAAGCACTCAAGCGGCGGAAGTGTTGAGTCAGCTTAGTGTGCTTGTGTGAGTAATGTAAGAGCGCTATCGATGTTCAACGAAAAGGCCCGAGTGTCTCCGTGGCATGTCTCGACTGTTTTTGTTATTCGGGTCGACCGTCGCGTTGCCATGTCACTCTAACTAAACAAACAAGTTAGACTCTCGCATCGTTGCCATGCGAGTCAGTCTCGTCTCGTCTGTCCATCAATAAAGAACTATTTTTCTTCTCTCAAAAGCAAATTGAATTTAATAACCGATTCAAGCATCAACAAAATGATTGAAAGCTGTATATATATTAAACAAATAATAATAAGTAACGGACAAAGTAAGAGTCAACACATTTCTTTGAAATTAACAAAATTTATATTATAATTAACAGAGGTAAAAATTATATAACGCAAAAATTAAAATCGAAATTATGAAAATGATTACAAGTTCCAAGTTTCGGCTACCGGATTGAGCCCTCTTCAAACATTAACATAACGAAAAAATCGCAGAATAAAATCAATTATCGCAAATGATCGCATATTCAGAACATTCTCAGTTCGGGTAAGTCTTGATGTTGAATTCAACATTATTTCCGTACGATTGAACCGTCAAATGTATTAAAAATATCTTGGTAAAGTTCTAGTTGATAAAAAGAATAAATTAAAAACCCAAAAAACGTAACACAAAAAAAAATTTTTTACGCATAAATAAAATAAAATAAAATACCGGGAATCTAATAAAAAATAATAAAAAAATTATGTAATAAAAACTCACCAGAATTCATGTGTAAGAAATTCAAATTAGTGTGTCCAAAAAGGAATAAAAAACTTTTGAAATATATACAACAAGAAGGAACGCAGATGTGTAAGACAGACATTACGTGTCGATTATTATGTACGTTCAGTAGTGCGGATCAACACAGACTGAGAGAGGAGACGGACTGTTAGTAACAGAAAGTCAAACTTTATTTATGATGGGAATATAAGCCTTGTGGAGGCCATCGGTATCAGTTTGTAAATTGAGACCATTCTTTTGCTTTCTGATATTAAGCATCTCCGAAACCAAACGTCTCCGATAGCAGGACTCTTCATTCAAAATCACGACTTCATCCCATTTGAATTCGTGATCAAGCTGTCTCCTATGCTCAGTTACGACAGAACGAACAGAAGTGTTGTGTCTAATGTGATTGCGATGTTCAGCAATCTTGGTCTTTAATTTTCTACTCGTCTGTCCCACGTATGACGCGTCACAATTATTACATGAAATCTTGTAGACTACGTTGTTCTTCGATGTATGTGGACAAATATCTTTATGTACTTTAATCAAACAAATACACGGCGAAAGAAGAGTCAGTAGATTACAAAGAGAAAAACAAAACATTTAATTAATTAAATTATTATGCGACGATACATGCGCACGGAACGGCATATATAAATGTGTAAATGTATAAACATGTGTAAAAATATAACAATTCTCGCTGATAAAGAGGATCTTGAGGATGGAGCTGAGCGATTCACATAGGATTATCGACCGTTATAGGTATTTACTTTTCCATTTTGTGAGCTGCCTTTCAATCTATCTTCCGACGCACATTTGTGATGAGTTCCTACGGACACAGGGCAAATCAATATTTCATCAAAGAAAAGAACAGGCTTGATTCTAAACTTCGGTGGTTGATCAATAAAAAAATGAAACAAGCCATCGTCAGGATCGCGCCCATACAGTACAATTCTGACTCCGTCCGTAAATCACTTAGCTCAACATTAGATAATACTTGTAGATCTTTGGGGCGCGGCTTTCTTAATCCAGCACCGTATTTCGTCGACAGTTCTGTTCTTCCAAATAAATGTTCTCTCAATCCTATGATTTCCATACTCCCTAACTCCTTTCCGTCACAGGTCCCTTCGTCTCTGTCCACGGTCAGAGACGGTTGGTTCCTGAACTTGTCTTCGTGCGATATTCCTAACAATGTTCAATGTTTTTTACAATTGGGTGAAGACTTTGCGCTCCCCTTCGATAATAAGAACAAGATTATTTTTAACTGCATTAAGGGTATTGAGAGTGGCACATTGAGGATGCCTTTGGACAAGAAAATGGACATAATTAATCAGTCTATTCCCATCCTAAAAAATATCATTTCTTCTCCTGTCTTTACTCTGGATGTCCACAAACAGTTAACTAAGATGGAGTCAGAAACTCGGTTGTTCTTGTCGGCGCATCCCAATATTGTGTTCACGCGTGCGGACAAGGGCAACGTCACTGTTGCTATCGACAGAGATGCGTACAAAGACCAAATGATTACGTTACTGGGGGACTCGGACACGTACGTCCAGATTAATAAAGATCCGACAAAAAAACTGACGACGGCTTTAAGATCTATGCTCACAAGGTGGAAAACAGGAGGATATATTGGGGACTCTGAGTACAGAGCGCTGTACTGCAGCGATGGGTCTCTCCCGAGGGCCTATGGACTGCCAAAGATACACAAACCTGGCTGTCCTTTAAGAATTATCGTGTCGTCGATGGGCAGTCCGCTATATTCTTTGGCTGCGTTCTTACAGAATAAATTATTTAAGACCATTCCGAAAACCGATAGCAACATCAAGAATAGTTTTGAATTAGTCGAAAAACTAAGGAATGTACATTTCACAGGGGCACATGAATTAATATCTCTAGATGTCACCTCTTTATTCACGAACGTACCAATTGATTTGGCGATTGACTGCATAAACGAACATTGGCATGCTATTGCCAGAGATTGCTCCCTACCTAAAAAAGAGTTCTTGGGGGCAATAAAGTTCGTTTTAGACTCCACGTTCTTTTCCTTCGACGATGTATTTTACAGACAATGCTTTGGCACTCCCATGGGCTCTCCAATATCACCCATAATAGCGGACCTAGTGATGAGGAGATTGGAGACGGTGTCCTTGAGGTCGTCGAACGTTGACACATTATTTTACTACAGATACGTTGACGACATATGTACGGCGGTACATCCCTCACAAATTGATAGGTTATTAAAACATTTTAATTCATTCCATCCGCGCTTACAGTTCACCGTGGAAAGGGGGGGTAATGCGATAAATTTTCTGGATATTACCGTGTTGGTCAATGAAAATCAATGTTATTTGGATTGGTACCGTAAGCCAACGTTCTCAGGTAGATTCCTGAACTTTCATTCGAATCATCCTTTGACACAAAAAAAAGGTACCATCTTCTCGTTAGTTGACAGAGCATTTTTACTATCTGACAGTAGATTTCACACGAAAAACTTAACTTTCATTATTAATATCTTACTTTTAAATGACTACCCACTCGATTTTATTTTTGATACCATGAACCATAGAATAAAAAATTTAATCAAAAAAATTCACAACGTGCATAACGTCACAACTGAGAATGATATTACGAAAGAGTCTACCTCGTGGCTTACGGTCCCCTTCGTTCCGTCTCACACGGAGAGATTTAGAGCATTACGCAAAAATAAAGGCGACATCAGAATAGCTTTCCACAGCCCTAACAAGATGAACAAGTACATCAGAGTCCAAAAGGACACTTGTCCTCGTACATCAAAAAGTAATGTTGTCTACAAGATTCGATGCAATAATTGCGATGCATCTTACGTCGGGCAGACGGGCAGAAAACTAAAAACCAGAATTGCGGAACACCGTAACCACATTCGATACAAAACGTCTACCCGCTCCGTTATCACCGAGCATAGACTTCTTTACAATCATGATTTTCAATGGGACGATGTTCAGATCCTTGATGAAGAACCTTCTTACAGAAAGCGGCTAATCTCTGAAATGTTACATATCAAAAAACAAAAAAATAGTTTGAATCTACAAACTGACACCGAAAGTCTCCATAAAGCGTATATACCGATAATAAACAAAGTATGACTTTCGATTGTGTCGGCCCGTCTCCTCTCCTCTCTCAGTGCGTTATATTCCGTCTAAGCGAGCGGTCACGTCGTGAGCGACGCCGACATGTCTAGCTCTGGCATGCACAATATTGCCGGAGTGTTACGGCTTACATATGGTTCACCTGTGCATAAGCGGGGGATCATTGATTTGTTCGGGTTTGCTGGTGAGTTTGTTATTTTATCTGTATAACGGCGTTTTTAATTGTCAAAGTCTGTCTTTTTTCTCATAACTTTTTTTTTCGGTCTTGCCTAGCGATCTGTGCTTGGACAATGGACACCTTGATTACTCAATCGTACTTTTGAGATCCATCTGAATTTTATTTCTTTACGTCTAATGTTAATTGCGACATGATTTGTTTTTTACTTAATTTTCACTTATCGTCTATTTCTCTTTTGCGTTTTATATCTGAAGAGGGCTCAATCTTGTAGCCGAAACTTGTTATATTTTTACACATGTTTATACATTTACACATTTATATATGCCGTTCCGTGCGCATGTATCGTCGCATAATAATTTAATTAATTAAATGTTTTGTTTTTCTCTTTGTAATCTACTGACTCTTCTTTCGCCGTGTATTTGTTTGATTATTTACGTTTACATTTAAGAGTCTTTACATCGTTATTATTTATGTACTTTGATGTATTTTTTCAATTTATTGGGACTACGGAAAGATACCCTGATGTCGTTTTTATTGAAACGTTTGAACTTTTCCGTGTGGAAAGGGATGAATGGAACCGTAAGCCAAGAAACAGATTCATTCGTCTCGACCTTGTCAGTCAAACTAGTATGTGTTATGTGTCTATTTTTAATTAAATTTTTTATTCGTTGATTGATTGTGTCAAAAATGAAGGTTAATGGATAGTCATTGTCTAATAAAAAATTAAAAGGGTTACACATTACAGATGAATACAAATTAATTTCATTGGATGTCAAGTCTTCGTTCACGAATGTTCCAATGGAGATAGCGGTCGACTGTGTTAATGAACAATGGGATTTCATTTCCAGTGATTGTCCTCTCCCGAAAGAGGAGTTTTTATGAGCTATAAAGTTCATTCTTGATTCCACATTTTTTTCCATTAACCTTCAGTTTTTGTTTATCTGACAAGGTCGAGACAAATGAATCTGTTTCTTGGCTTACGGTTCCATTCATCCCTCTCCACACGGAAAAGTTCAAACGGTTCAATAAAAACGACATCAGGGTATCTTTCCGTAGTCCCAATAAATTGAAAAAATACATCAAAGTACATAAAGATATTTGTCCACATACATCGAAGAACAACGTAGTCTACAAGATTTCATGTAATAATTGTGACGCGTCATACGTGGGACAGACGAGTAGAAAATTAAAGACCAAGATTGCTGAACATCGCAATCACATTAGACACAACACTTCTGTTCGTTCTGTCGTAACTGAGCATAGGAGACAGCTTGATCACGAATTCAAATGGGATAAAGTCGTGATTTTGAATGAAGAGTCCTGCTATCGGAGACGTTTGGTTTCGGAGATGCTTAATATCAGAAAGCAAAAGAATGGTCTCAATTTACAAACTGACACCGATGGCCTCCACAAGGCTTATATTCCCATCATAAATAAAGTTTGACTTTCTGTTACTAACAGTCCGTCTCCTCTCTCAGTCTGTGTTGATCCGCATTACTGAACGTACATAATAATCGACACGTAATGTCTGTCTTACACATCTGCGTTCCTTCTTGTTGTATATATTTCAAAAGTTTTTTATTCCTTTTTGGACACACTAATTTGAATTTCTTACATATGAATTCTGGTGAGTTTTTATTACATAATTTTTTTATTATTTTTTATTAGATTCCCGGTATTTTATTTTATTTTATTTATGCGTAAAAAATTTTTTTTTGTGTTACGTTTTTTTGGTTTTTAATTTATCCTTTTTATCAACTAGAACTTTACTAAGATATTTTTAATACATTTTTTTACGGTTCAATCGTACGGAAATAATGTTGAATTCGACATCAAGACTTACTCGAACTGAGAATGTTCCGAATATGCGATCATTTGCGATAATTGATTTTATTCTGTGATTTTTTCGTTATGTTAATGTCTGA